TTCATTAACAACGGTAAATAGCAATTTTTGTAGCAATTAGATGAAATATCGACATGTCATTATGACACATTGTCACATAGACAACTCATCATCACGGTTGATGAATAATATTATTCCACAACGGTAAGTTAACATATCATATAAAGATTAAACTTGTTATAGTACAATTTTTAATTGATTGGTGAGCTAATGTTTAAATTCGATTATAGAGGAATTAAATTGGAGTTCGCTAGCTCGACATGATTAAATTAAAATTTATAGTTATTTATAGTTGAGATTTCATCGAAATTCGCTATAATGACATGATCCATACGTTGTCCGTATCATATCTCATCTTAATATTTATTAATAGCCAGTTTTATAATACGTAACAATGTATGGAGGCCAAACTTCGATCAATGGGCGGGCTTAGGCATAAAAAGGTGTAAAATGTGTTTTCTTATTTTAATATTATTTTAAATTTTTAATAAATTTAAAATTTATTTAATAATACATACAAATTATAGTACCAAATATTTTAAGAGTTTAATTAAATAAATATGTTTTTGAATAATAAATAAGATATATTACACTAGCGCTAATTGAAATATTTGAAGAGTTTTTAATTTTTATTAATCAGTAAAAGATAGAAAAATAATTAATTAACTTAATAAAATATAAACAACTATTTATATAATAGTACAATACACTACAATCAAATCAAAATTACAATACATTACAACCAAACTAAATGTATAATGTACTATGGCCGAACCAAAAAAATTCGTATCTCACATCGAAAGTTGACAATAAAATCCTTAGAGTTCTTCCGTAAATTAGTGAACTAATAAGTGGGTAAACAACATTTTTGCCCTTTCAATTTATCGGCCTAAAAGTTGAAAAAATTATAATTATTAATTTTTCGGCTCTTCAATCCAATTTTATTTTATTTTATTAGCAATAATAATAAATAAATAAATAAATGAAAAAAAATAGTTCCTGCATTTTCCCATCAAAAGCCAAAACTCACCTCCATCCACCTTTTTTCACCTTGATCTACACTGTCACTCCTTCAACTTTCTCTT